GCACCTGTAAAATATGCTGAATGGTCGTTCAGGTGAGTTAAGTGATGCTCCCCCCACCGCCTGCATATGCATAATGTGGCCAACTGAATTGCTGGCGGGGCGTAATCACGTCTCGATGTGTGGCACGCGATGTGGCCGCCAAAAACGGAGGTGCCATTGCCGTTGCCGTTGTCGTTGCCATTGCCCAGTGGCAAACTTTGTTTCGCCGCGAGCTTTGGCCAATTTATTTTCTCCGAGATAATCCGCCGCATAATTGCACTGGGAGCCAGACTCTATCCATGTGGCCAAGTCGCGGCCCCCATAAATTTCCAGTTCCGCCTGGCAGGCATCAGACTATGTCTAAAAAGTTTCACTCAGAATAAAAGAAAAATCTTTGGAAATTTTAAATAACGAAGGATTTGTTTAATAATGTACAATGATGTATAATAATGCACAATAAAATAAACTTAGCTTCCTAGCAATATTCTTTAAACATGTTTCGGGTTGCTATAAGAAACCATTTATTAAACTATTAATAGCTTTTCTTTTGTTAAAAACCAATTTTTGTTTTGAAATAGTTGAAAGCACATTACAAATAGGGTAGTTAAAAATACAAATATTATTGAGAAAAATTAACAAACCAAATACATTAAAAAATTGTAATAAATAGTTCAACAGGCCGAATATAATTTATCTTAAGATTTGTTTTCTTTGCATCTCTCAAAGTTCTATTAATTTTTTCTATGTGCACTAGGGGGACAGTCGCCATGTCCGGCTGTGCGCATAATTGTCGTGCGTCCGCTCTAAAGTCGCGGCCAGTCCTACAGTAAAACTCCCTTTTAATGGCCGCCGGCGATGATAAGGCCGCCGAGTTTATGGCTCCAGATAGCAAGTGTCAGCGTCACGTAAATTCGCCAGCAACTCGTTGAAATTAGGGAACCTGGTCCGCGGTTCCCAGGGGGTTATTAGCCATGGTTTTATGGAGTTTATTGAGAGAGGGATAAATAGTTTCTGTGTGGGATGCTACCATTTCTGTAAGATGCACCATCTTTAATCTTTTTATAATTCATTCGGCCCTTTGTCACCCATTGGAATTCAATTCTCCAATTGAATTTCTTGGATTTCTCGGGTAGCCCGGCAATAAGTCGGTCAATCGATAATCGGATGACTATGACCCAGGCATTAAATGACAAAAACATCGCATTAGGGCTGGAAAGAGTTCGACCTCCGCAATGACCGCATGGATGAGTCAAAAACATAAGATGCACTTGAAAAAAAAACATTTTTAGAACATAAGTTATAGGTTTTTGAAATTCTAATAACATTAACCTATTTTCAATTCAAGGAAAAACATATAAATTAATTTTTTTGAATACCATAAATATTTTTGTCAGGTTTTTACATTCGATTTTGGATGTTTAAAATTGTATAACAGAGCAATAATTTTCAATAAAACCTTGAATATATATTTATATGTATACCAAAGTGCACCGATTGAAAGACCAAAACAAGCAAATTTTTTTACAGTGTGAAAACGGGTTTCGGGCCTTGACACAGACAAAGAAATGAGCCCAGGAGAAATGCGCAGGGAGAGAAAGGAGTTGTGCGCAGCTGAGGGGATGAAATAGAGTTCGCCCTGGCAAGGGCTCATTTCAATCTATTTATGAAAAACCAAAAGTCTTTGAGACAAGCCAAACGATGGCGGTGCAGAGGCGGTGCTCTTATCACGGCCATTTGCCTCCGCCATTGCACCGCCAAAGTGGTTGATCCGGTTTACGGAATCCCCCTACCAATCCCCCAGAAACCACTCTCCGTTGGTGTGAATCTGTCGGTGGCTCTTCGGAGACTCATTTGAAGGGACAAAGGTCACCTGAGTGAGTCTGTTCCATCGGACAAATAAGTTGGGCCCCATCTGCCCCATCATTTATGCCCACTTAGTCCAATCGATTCGGAAACAATTTGAAACCGAAACATGCAAATACTGCTACGATCGCATTGAGTTCAGCAATTAGCGTCACGGTGGTCAATTCACTCCAAATGCGTTCATTATACGAAATTAACTCGATTTATGCGCCCAATTAGACCCCTTGTAATGGAGCATGTTTTATGGAACGTTTGCAGGCGCACTTTACAGCGAATTAAACTAATTGATGTGGTTCGAGAATTTCCATTATTTTAATTGCATTAAATAAAGTGACAAGTTTTTCCTTGAAGTTTTAAAACATTCAAATGCAAATGTCTAGTAGGCAATGTAAAAGTTCCACTTAAAGTGTTGTTAGCATATGTTAAATTGATTAACAATAATTTTTTTTTTTAGGAATATCTTCTGTTTTTTAACATTATTAAAAAAAAAGTAGAAAAAATTAGTATTTATCTATATAAATACAATATATTTCAAAGGCGATTGTTCTGGTGCATAAGAGAACATAAAAAATATTTATAATTTTTCTATGATTAGAAAGTCTAGGAAATCGAGAGTTTCTAAATCTCGAAGTGGATAATTAAGCCCCAAGTTGCGCACTTAATCGATCGCCTATTTCCCTTGTAATCCAGCGGATTACTAGAAAACTTCAAGATCCCTCTGTAGACGCCAGTTGAACTTCTAGAATCGCTCGCATTTCGCAACCAGATGCGGCGCTTTCGATTCTCCGCTTCTCAATTTCCCCCCAATTAGCGCCACTCCCTCTTTTTTCAACGCCCCCGGGCACTCCCCCTTTTAACGAGGCCATCACCAGTCGAGTCAATTTCTGGCGATTCGACTATAGGCCATCGGAGCTGGCGCAAAAATCTTTAAATTGTTGCAAATTACGTTTGAAAACGTGCCTTTTCGCGGAGATGCATCCACGGGATTGCGGGAATGTGCGAAGATGCTCGGCGATCGTGCCGCCGCATTTGAGAAGAAACTCATTGGCCAGCACTTCATTTTGCTGGACACTTTAACGAGCCCAAATACAAATCACTCACCAGTGGTTCTGACCCGGGGCCAACGAATGCGAGAGTTACGCAAAACCATAATTAACAAACATTCGGTGGAATCCGTTTTACGAGCGGCACTGCTCGAACTTTCTGATTTATTCGACTGTCTGCATGGAGAAAAAATGTGTTAGAGTACGAGATCCTAAAGAAGTTACTGATAAAGTTCTACAGAACTAATCATGATTTAAATCTGTTGAATTACAAATATTGGTCACTTTGTCAGGATTAAGATTTACCAACTGATATACAAAAATGTTGAAAAAATAATTAACTTAGAGCCTAGGCCAATATAATTTAAATTTCCTCACAGTGTACAAGAGGGATTGGGCGTATGATTTATCCGAGTGGTGGAAATCGTAGGAAATCCTTTCCACAAGTCACATAACTCTTTCCACCGGCTGATGGATGGCCGCGTCTAATGAAGTCGTCGGGTCGTTGTCACCATACTTCCACAATTTGTTTGGGCCCAAAGTCTATAGATCGCCATACGTGACTGCAACTACGAATGGCATCCAATGAGCCCAGTTAGCCGGGCTGTACCTTGGTGACAAGGGCTGAGATTTCCACCGACTATATTCATCGAGTCGATTGCACTGTCTGCGTTTGAATACGGAAAGTAATTTGTAATAGAATGGTTGTACCTAATAGGACACACTGCTGTTTTCCTTCGCCAATCACCTTTAGGGTAATTTCCTATTCATCAAACCAGAGTCAATGAAATCGCTAGTTTACTGGTAGTTCTGTGATGGATTCCTAGATATATATGTTTTATTTCCTTTAGGCAAAGACACGCGTATATGACCAAACCATTCATATTTTTAATGTTACAACGTGGAACTACACATCTTTGGTATAACTTTTAACTTAAATAATATTTCAATGTTAACCGATGATCCGTTTTAGTTTAAACCGCCGTGCAACTGAGGCTTAAAACTAAATATTCCAAGAAGTGAGCGACCATAACTCTGATTTGTCTTTACCACACCCATTTCATTGATATTTTATCCATCTAAAAAAAAGGCTGGCCCGAATGTCCTGCGCCTGCCTCTTAGCCAATAATGACGTAACCACGAGCCACGCCCAGTTATTGGCAATAGCGATCGTTATCGGACCTCTCTTTCCCCTAGCGAAAATGCATTGCTATCTCTATCTTGGTTGAATTTTCCACTTCGTATCCTTTGAACTGCCTTACCGACCCACCCCCTTGCCAAAATTAGTGAGGACGCATGTACACTGCTTGCACTGCTTGGAGGCCGAGGGCGTTAACTGGTTAGACGTTGTTTCAGCCAACGGTATATAGATGGCGCTCCGGTGCACTGGTCATTCACAACTTTTCTCCGGTAATTTGATGGCCAACCCGCTTTTTGTTTCTAATTGAAGTTTTCCATCTGCAACATCGGCCTTTTCGTATCTGTATCTACATCCGCATCCTTCGCGGTGCGTGCGCCTGCGTTTCTACTGCTCCACAACAACATTTGGCCATATTTTACCGCTTTTAAGCAGCGCGTAAATACTCACGCTTACTGCAAGAGTCCATTAAACGGTCGTAAAAACTTTACGATTCCCAATATGAGATTCTCTTAATACGATTTTTTATGATATTGAAATCTCCTTTCGCAGCGAGCCCATCATCGCCCATCTTTCGAGTCGAGAGAGACCATCTGAGGCCCACTCGCCTCACTCCTGCAGCTTGCTTTTCCGACATTTTTCCAGCTGGGGGAAAGCGGAAAAACTGAAAAACCACCGCCGCAGGTATCATAATGGCCTCCCCTCGCCAACGGGGCGTATGCGTGTGTTTTAATGTCTTGTTGAGGCCTATAAAACACCCTCGTCATCCCGGTCGATGACGAAAACATGTCGATGTCGATTTTCATTCAGTTAGCCATGGCCAAGGAAAACATTAGGGGAGCTAGTAAATTAATTTGAATTAAATTTTGTAGACCTTCCAGAATTAGGATAAAAATAGTTAATCTTTAATTATAGGTTAAGAGAAAGAATCTTCTGTTTATTGTTCTATTAAGCACAGTGCTGCTTTCACGTTTCAGGAACTAGATTTTTAAGAACCGCCAGAATCACCCGAGTCGTCGTCTCCGGAATCCCCGGAATCATGAGAACTATCTTCATCTTCATGACCTTCAATTGTGATACACAGCGAGATTATGAAGAGACTTATGCACAAAACGTCTTGTCCTAGACACAGGGCACCCATTGTATATTCACCCATTTCGTATTGTCCATCGATCAACTTTTGAATGTTAAACAAGGAGGGAATGCTGGCAAAAATCGCATACATAATTATATGAACACCGAAGATAAAAAAGCCATTCTCACCAAAAGGGGCGCGTACACAATAGGCCTGCCGTATAAAGTGCCATCAATATGTTTATGTTTGAGGACCTCTGAAATATTCGAGGATCAAAACACATCATTAAATTAATTGCGTACATGCAAATTAAGGCACCAATAATAGATTTATAATTTTTTGAGGATGAGTATGTTGAGCCTTCATAAAATAGTCCCGAAAATGCTGATGCTAAAGTTATTATCAGGCTTATCTGTAATGAAAAGGATTGTAACTCAAATCGGAGGATGACTATATATACCAACCGCCACGATGACAAGAACCCTCCAGCTGAATTCACAGTGATTTGAATCACTTTCACATGGAATTTCACTATCCGGAACCGGAGGAGTCATTTCCTGCAACTTGTTTTCCTCGCATAGTAAACCATCCTCTGACCTTTTCCCAATATTACACACTTCAACTCCCCAGTTCCCAGTTGAATAGAGACTCTTCATGTGTAAATATTTTGGAATTAGATAATTGCTTTACTTTTGTGTGTCAAATTCAGATATGTTAAGTGTGACTTTAAACTCTTGGAAACAACATCTTACATTATATATTTAATTGATTTTTTTTTACATTTTTCAAATTGTGTCTAGTCCTAACTCTATAACTATAACATACTGTTAAAATATTTTTGCCTTGGATATAAGGTTTCTTTGTATATAATGAATTTAATGGGGTGGTCATTATTAGCTAATGTAATATTCGAAAATATTTTCCAAAAGCTCACCATAAATATTTCTTATTATATTTTTAGATTACAAACAGCTTGCAAAAATGGTAAGTGAAATATGCTGTTTATATGTTTATGTTCATCCTTTAGACTTAAGCCCCAGACATGGCCCTCTATACAATACAATCTTTAACCAACATACATATTTATTGATGGTGCAATTTACAAGGCAGTGTATCATTTGTGCAATTAAAATGCAATAAAAGTAGAGGAAAACACACGCAGACAGACGGGCGGACATTAGGTGTGCACTCGTATAAATTTTATTGAGTAATTCGGAGGTGACTCGAGATCGCTGCCGCTCAGATGACGATGGCACGGAGACCCAGATTCGGGGTGACCCATAAACCCGACCGCAACGGGGATTAAAAAATGATTGCGTGAGAAGGCATTTAGTAATCGTGGAAAGAACTCATTCGTCAGATGAAGGCGATCTGGAACGGGAAATGGGACGGGGACGGGGAAACCACGGCCAAACAAGCCGTAAACCTACGCTATAAAAGTGTATCAAATTAGGGAAAGAACTTGATGTGCAGGGACTCTTTTTTTTTATTTCCACCACTGAGCCGCACTTTCCACTCGGGGCGAGTCTCACTCAATGCCATTGATTTTATGGCGAGTGACAATTGATTCCGGTCTCATTACTCACTCCTGCACTCGCCTCCGAGCCGAAATACTTTACAGTCTTTACAGTCTTTTTATGGGCAATTACTCCTGTCTTCTAGCGGCTTTTACGATCCGCACTCAGCGCCGAATTGCACTCGCAATGCCAATAGTTCCCGAGGCCGGGGTTGTGGGAACCAACGAAAGGAAAACTGGCTGCCAGCTTGTTAACCGAATGGATTTTCGAGTGCGCCACGAATGCAACCATAAGTGTGTACTGTCTGACCAACTTGTTTGGCCATATTGTGTCGTGAAAGTATGTTTATAGCGCAGAGAATGTTCGTAGGTAACCAATCGGCTAATAATAGATTATTAACCCATCTACCTGCAAGCTTGCTATCTGTTTAAATCTAAGTTATAAGGTAATACAGTCGGTTGTTAGCCACTTAGCTCGTGCTATAAATTAATAATATATTACTATGATAAAAAAATCAATATTTGTAATTCATTTAATCTTTAGAAATAAAGCCAAAATAACATTCACCAGTAAGCAAAAGCACAAACCATTCGAAAAATGATTGTATCATGTCTAAAAATTATTAAAACAAACAAAAAAACATTTATATCGAACTAAATTTTATTATTATCAGTTTAAATAAATACATTTTTGTAAGGACTAATAAACAAATTATACTTGTTTATAGAAAAATATAACTGTTATGTTACAATATGAATTGTTAAACAAACTGTTTTGTCACATGTCAAGCCATTAGACTACTTTACCTTTATGAACTATCATTTACCCATTCTTTAGAATAATTTTGACTTTATTGTTTTACAAGTGTTTCCCTTCTTTTTACGCCTATTTTGTTTTAGATACAACCTGTCGCACCAGAGATTACAAGGGAGCTGTTTCTTTTATGGTTTGTTCCGCTTTTGTTTAACGGTCCTGAGGATCACACGCAATCCCACGCAATCCACCACCGAAGTCAGAAAAACCCGACTCAACGCACAAATCGACTCAACCGAAACTCGACTCTCATCCCCCGGCAACTCAAAATAGTGTTTTATTGTTGAAAATTACGATTCTTTTATTTATTTACTTTTTTCTGCATTTTCTGCTGTTCCCTCACTCTCACCCAGTTTCAATTTTTATATGTTTATTACGATTATTATCGTTTAATGGGGCTTGCTCGCTCGTTATGTCTGGTTTTGTTATTGTTGCACCAGTAGTTGTGTCAGACTAACGTGTGAAGTTGTTTTATTATTTGTTTTGATTATCAAAATGGGCGTTTTACATTTTTCCGGTCGTTGGGCGGCCCACCTGCCACGGGCCCACAGCTTATAGCCCATATCCCATCACCCCGGGGCAAGGGCAGTAAATCACAGCCCGCTGTGAGTGGCTGAGTATCTGGGCAGCAGTACACTCATAAAATTACAATCCTTCACTTAGGGATTTCCCCGTAATTATTATGTGGTTATTGCGATTTTAATGCTAGTAATTAAGTCCTAACTCCTCAAATTCCTGTATCATATGTGTTGCTATAGCATCCAGTTTGATTTCATACCCCAGTAAAAAAGTTAGCTAGTAAAGTCTTAGAAAGGAAAAATATTTTTAAGCTTACACTTAATTTTATTATATATATTTATATATTATAATAATTTTTTTTATACTTCTCTTTTAGTATCTTAAAACAATACCAAAGAAAATCAAATAACACATCATAATTTGAAAGAGGAAAGTTTCATAAAAAATCCAAAATCAATGATAATTTTTTCCAGTGCATGGGGGAATTCGATTGCACTCAGTGTTGGCCACTCACTCGCACTCGCCGTATGACCCATAAACATAAACCAAAGTGTGGCAAAATGTTTAATTTGGAATTTATGAGCAATTAATTTTAAAGCACCCGCCCGGCCGTAAACGCTGTTTCAGCCCACCCTTGGCCATAAAAGATTTAACAAGCCAGTGTGCCAAAAATTGATTGTTTAGCCAATCCGTTGATTGATCAATTATTCAATTGTTATCGCCCAAGATTTGGCAATCGGATTCGAGCAAGAGCCGTAAAACTACGTGAAAGTCAATTAAAAAAGAATTAAGTATTTAAACAGCCAGGTGAGAGGCCTTTAAACTGGTAGAAGCTAAAGAATTTCAATATTTATGTTATCCAAAGATACTATTAAATAAGGGAAAAATATTATTGTACGACTTTAACAACAACGAATTATAAATGTTTATTGCATAAGAAATTATATTGTATTGTATCAACTAAATTATAAAAAATGTAAAATACACTATAATATTACAACTTGTACACAAAAATAAAAATAACAATAAATAAATACTTTCATTTGCTTTTTATTGCAAATTCGTTTAGAATTTATTTCAGACAAATAATTGTTTCTTAGAAATATAGAAATGGACAACGCTGGAAATGGACAACGCTGATGTGTGGTAAACATTTTAAAATATTTTTCAATGACTTACACTAATTACAAAGTTCAAAAATTAATCAAAACCAAACCTAAAATAGATTTTTTTTGTTAAAAAATATTTGTTTTATTTAATTCTATATTCTGAAACTTATTTATAAAGTCTAATAAATATTTGTTATACTTCACTAAAGTTTTAATTCAGCATTTCACTAAAACTCTGTCCTTTTTCATACTCCCTCTATCCTTTACAATGTCAGATAGCAAAGTTCTCCAAGTGGATAAGTTAAGAAATTGCAGATTCGCTTTATTTCCGCACACATTTCCCCTGGAAAGCGGGAAGGAGTGGGGTGGGAGAAATGCTTGTGTGTGTTGTCCAATTCCAATCGTAAATTTGAAATTTTTCATAAAAATGTCATAACAGCAATTCCAGCGACAGAATGAAAAGAGAGAAAGGAGATGCGGACAAAAGGCGGCGGCCGAAAAAGTGAAGAAGCAGAGCTGACTTTTTGCACAGTCGGCGTTTTTCATCTCCCGAAATTTATGGATTTTTCGTAATGCCACTAGAGGGTGGGCCCATAAAAAAATGAAATACAAATTTCGGCTAATTTGTATCGAAAGGCACTCACTCAGAGTGGCTGCTCAGAATGAATAATGCACGGTAATTCGAACAACAATAACATTTTGCCAAACAAAGCATAAAACACTTAAAAAAGCATAGCACTCAAAGCGGGGCTCAAATAGTTTCACTCAGCTGCCTCATTCTCACGTTATAAAGAGGCAAATTAGGAGAGCACTTAAAAGGCACTCAAATGGCGCTCGAAAAAACTCACTCAAGCGACGCGAGGCGGCCATCATGCGAAAGAGAGAGAAGGCGAGAGCAGTGGCCATGCTGCGCGCCGAGAGCAGGGTGAGCGAGAGCAGGTCAGCCATACAAGCTGGCTGCGCTGCCATCTTTCTTATTGCCGCCGCTGCTGCGGTCGACGTCGAGTGAATTCGCCGTCCGGCGAGTGAGCCAAAATGAATTGTCACAAACTCAGCATCCAGTTGCCCATAAGAACGCTCGCATGGCTTTTGTATTGCGCCATAAACGTTTCGCTGCTCGTAACGCCACAACGCTCGACGTTTCGCAGCGGCCTTCGCTTTCGCTTCTCTTCTCGCGCGTAAAGCGGTCTCCCCAAAACAAAAAAATATAGAAACAACAACAACAACAACAAAATACTAAAGAAAACCCCCTCAGACAGACAAAACTCAAAGTCTCCAACGACTCAAAGCGCCGCCGTCGCTGCCACAGCCGCTGCCACAGCCAACGTCGCTGCCCGCGCCGGCAGCAAGAATTACCAATTACACGAAATTTTTATACTCTTTTAAAAATTTCGTTTTATTATAATATTTATTATCGTGGCGCGCAGTAGTGTCTGCGGAACTCAGCTCTCCACTCTTTGGATTCTCGGCCCTCCGATTCCGAATCGGATTATACGATTATACGACCATACGACTATACGACTGGCTGTACGATTCAGTTTCCGATTCGCCGTGTTTATTGTTCCGTTTCGGCCGCCGGCTTATTGTCACTTAACTGTTATAGAGCGCATAAAATATATAATACTGTGCGAGAAATCCGTACCGAAAAAACACCAAATAACCGAAAGAAAACTGTCAAAACACTCGGTTTTTAACTCTCTCTGTGTGTGCGGTGCATAAAAATTAAAAAGCCATAAAGTTGACATCGTAAAAGGTTTGGTTGTTCCAGAGTTCGATAGTTCTACCTGCAAAGTGTTTTATGGCATTTTAAACAAAGTAATTAAAGCAAAACGCAGGGAGAAAGCATTTCTCCGGCCACACACACTCTCGCACACCCTGGCACACTCACGCACACTCACTTGAGAAGTCGTTAAAAGCCGCAGGGAAACTCGCTCTGCCATAAAAATACAAGAGTGCCATTAAAAAAGATCGCGCGCCTATAAATCACACGTACGAAATCCCGCCGGCACTACGTCCATTCGAATTTCCGCGTAATTGATGGTCGCATTTTAATTGCTTTTACAACAAATAAAAGATACACACACCCCAGCCACACACCGCACACACCACACACACACTTGTGCCACAGCTGCAACAACAACGCAACCCGAGACCATATGCAAATTTAACAAATTTCGTTGTGAATTCGCCAGCTTCGAGCGAAAGAAACAGAGAATCAGAAAAGCTGCAAATACAAACTGCTCGCCAAAAGTTTGCTAGAGAAAACCCGAGAAAGGTAACGAAATGCATTTCACTTCTCCGAATCGAGAAAAGTAGCTTAAAGTCGGGCAGGTGGCAAAGTTTCATATCTCTATCTCACTAAATCTATCTAAAAAGCTACTAACCATTTGCCATCTCACATAGTCTACTAATTTGGGTATAACCCCAAGAAAACCCTATAAGTACATAGCTCCCATACTAACCCTTTGGCATTGTGCAGGGAAATCTACCGAAAAAAATATAATACATCAGGATTACATATATTTTCCACTTGAGTTCTGTATCGCGCTACCCGAAAGATTTATGTTCAATCTAAACATATTCAATTTGGCTAATGTTCTTTTTATGTTTTCCGAGCCATTTCTATAAGCAGTATATATTTTTATATTCTTTGTTTACCACATTTGTCGCCAAGTTTATTTTCGCGTTTAGTACATTTTAATTCGATCAATTTGGGAAGTGATTTATATAGTCATTCTATTGTAGTTTGCATTGGATTAAAAGGCAGTAAAGTCAAAAGAATATAATAGTTGATTTGCAACTAAGGGATATTTGATTAGACATAAATACTTTTTATATTAGGTTATAAATCTGTAAACTTTATGGGACTCTTTAGAGGGAGACGATCTTCTGAACTTTTCAAGCTATGCCTATTAGAACTCGGGGAACATTGATAAATGCATTTTTCCTAGGGGAAATATTTATGATTCTTTTAAATAAATATTTAAAAATTGAAGGGCATTCAATTTATATAGCTTTACCATTTTTTTCAACCAATAGTCGCAGCTTTTGTTTTAAAGGCCATATGTGCTTTCGCTGAATTCAAACAAAATTTGTTAAAGCCACACAATGAGAATGCTTAAAATATCAAAATCAAAATACCCAATATAGCCATTAACCAAACGACTCAGATAAAAATAAATCGAACTCGAAGAAACGAAAAAAGAACTAAAAGTGGACTGAACAAAATTCCGAAGATTCGATCCTCGGCCAGAGAGCAAAATATGTGCAATGTCAAAATTTGTTTTCGATAGTATGCTGCCAAAGTATTCACAGTTCCAGCCGTTTATCAGTTCGCACCACCTAACCACCACCCCCCCGAATTCGTCATCTGCAGCAGTTGCCGCCGCCCTAGCCGCCGCCGCCGCCTCTGCCTCCGCCAGCGTTTCAGCCAGCAGCAGCAGTAATAGCAACAGCAACACCAACAACAACACCAGCAGCAGCAACAACGCCAGTGGCAGCAATACTAGCAACAACAACAACAACAGCAGCAGCAGTCCCAGCAGCAGCAATCTCAATTTGAGCGGAGGATCCCTGTCGCCCAGTCATTTGAGCCAACATCTGGGCCAATCACCCCACTCGCCGGTGTCCTCGTCGTCGCCCTTCCAACAGCACCACCACCCACAGGTGCAGCAGCAACACCTGAGTCTGAACCACCAGCAGCAGCAACATCTGCACCACCAGCAGCAGCAGCACCACCAATACTCCTCTCTATCCGCGGCCCTTCAGTTGCAGCAGCAACAGCACCACATCAGCAAACTAGCCGCCGCCGCCGTCGCCTCGCACGGCCACGCCCACGCCCACCAGCAACTGCTGCTAACGCCCCCGTCGGCGGGCAATTCGCAAGCGGGCGACAGCAGCTGCTCACCGTCGCCCTCGGCTTCGGGCAGTTCGTCGCTGCACCCGCAGTCTCAACGACAACTCGCCCGGATCCGCATCCGCGTCCGTGTCCGCATCCGCGGCCAGTTCCGTTGCCGCCGCTGCAGCAGCCGCCGCCGCCGCGGCCAGCTCCTCGTTTGCCATCCCCACCAGCAAGATGTATCCGTACGTGTCGAACCACCCGAGCAGCCACGGAGGTCTCTCCGGAATGGCCGGCTTCACAGGTCTGGAGGACAAGTCCTGCAGGTGAGATAGATCATCCTATCCATAATGATAGAAAACTAGCCCTATAACATTACCAATTCCAATAGGTACATGTGGGATCTTTACATCTTTAAAAATATGAAAACGTATATGATCATTATTTTTAAAGTATAACAAGCTTTAACTAAGAATATCTTCAGAATATGTTAAGACCTTTGGGTTATGATGAGCTTTAACTAAGAATGTTACATCATATTTTGTTATTCTAGTAGATAGGTTTATATTTTCTTAGAAACAGTGGTGATATTTCCTAATTTTTTTTCTAAGCCAGTAGTTCTTCATGTCATAGGTGATCGGTAGTTTTTTAAAGTGCCTGTCATGCGGTATTTATTGTTAAGTATATCAAGGCCACTTAAAATATACCTCAAGTGCTTTCTTTCTGTTAACAGCACCCTTTGATCCATTTTGCAAGGTTTTAATAATATTATTCATCTCAAACTAGACGTAAACATTTTTCAAAAAATATATTTTCCACCAGTTATGAATCCAGAGTTTAAAGAACCTTCTTCAAAAATATTTTAAAAAGGTTCTTTGAGTCAGTTTCCAAGAACTCATTTCGCATGCTCTCATTTTGGCGAACGGAAATGCCTGTCGAGACCTTCAGCAAAATCGGCAAACACCGCAAAACCGCAAATCCGTTTCGAATGCGCTCTAATTATCGGGTCCCCGGGTCCTGACCATGGCCATTTCCCTTCGGCCATTCATATTGAATGGCCATAAAGTCGGAAAATTAGAGCAGCCTGCGGTGGCCGCTGGCAATTTGTCGCCGGCCACGAGATTCGCACGCACGCTGACCTTCCGTTGCGGCCATTTGCATATTAGTACGTACCACTGTGCATGTACAGTGAACCCTGCTGTGCGTGGGCGTGTTCGGGATTAGTGTGCAATTAGAGGCAACCACAGTGGGAAAGGGGGAATGGGAATGCAAATGGGCAACTCATTAGCATTTGACTTTCGACAGGAAGTTCGAGTGGAAATGTTTCTAAGAGTAGGGGTCACCATAACACGTTCCTAACCCAACCTCCTGTCTCTTTCTTTCACCTACAGCAGGTACACGGACACCGTGATGAACAGCTACCAGTCGATGAGCGTACCTGCCTCGGCATCCGCGCAGTTCGCCCAGTTCTATCAACATGCCACAGCCGCCGCATCGGCGGTATCAGCGGCCAGTGCCGGAGCGATCGGAGTGGACTCGCTGGGCAACGCCTGCACACAGCCCGCCTCCGGGGTGATGCCGGGGGCAGGGGGAGCGGGCGGAGCCGGTATCGCCGATCTGCCCAGGTATCCGTGGATGACGCTTACAGGTGAGTCAACGATCGCTGAGACGATCTCGGGGGGAATCGTATATATAAGCAATGAAGGGGAAAAAACAGCATCCAAAAACAGGATCACTAAATCTGTACAAGTCTTGGGGAAGATTAACAACCAACCCATTTCAAAAGAGGTCTATCGCAGGGAATAAAATCCAATTTAAAATATATCTTATATTACAACTCTGAATTTTTCGTATTAAAACAAAAATCTTACAAAATAAATAATGATCTTTAAAACTTCATTGAGCATCTTAGGTCAAGAATCACTCTATAGCAACTCTAAGTATTTATTACTTTTTGGCAAACAACTGAATATAAAATCAAGAGTCTATCTATCCACAATTTTTAAAATAAATCATGCCAATCATAATAAAGTCTTAAGGAAACCATGTATTTCAAGGAATGTATATCGTCTTAAATCAAGAGTAAATTCGCTTCACGATCAACAAAACGATCTTTTAGAATTTTGTGTACTTATAAATCATGGCCACTTACACTGAAAAGGAAAACAAATTTAGAAGCAATAAATAAAAGTTCAAAAATTATTAAAATTGGAAAGAATTAAAAAAAATATTGTATTTCAGATTAATTTGAGCTATGCAATCTGTATTTCCAATCAAATTATTATTCACTTAAATCTTATTTAAAGATTCTTCATAATAAAACTCAGAACATTGCTCGCACATAAAATGTTATGTTCCAACAATATTTCTTTGCAATTTTCTAAACGTTTTTCTTCAGTGCAGTGGTGTGAATGGTTACTCTGAGCCAATTACCCAAGCTCATATAAACAATAGATAAACGTGGCGCAAACATTCTCCAAAAGCATTCCCATTTCCACCGCCATTCCGCCTCCAATTCCAATTCATAATGAACACTTTGCGGGGCACTTCCAAGTCGTTTATTTCGCATAAGTCTTCTAGCGCGATTCGAATCCCAATCCGAAAACGAAATGAGCGAAGAGGTAAAAAGTTGGCAGTAAATAAAAATCAAAATAGTTTGAAAAATGCTTCTCTTGTCTGTCGTGTTGTTTGGCGCGTCGATTTGTAATTTAAATAGCCTCAAGGTTGCCCCACACACCAAAAGCCAAAAACCAAAAAAAAGCCACTGGGATGTGCCCCGCGCATACGAAATCCAGATATCCACCGAAAGATACAGATACAGAGATAGAGATACAGATACTTTTCGGACGCCGCTCTTTTTATGCGGCTAACGTAGTACGAGCGAACTCGCTTCAAATTTATGTGGGTCAGTTTAATTTACGCGATCCGTTCGCCTTTTTCCGCGCATTTTTGCACACCAGAGCAGATTTATTTATCATTTCTGAGGCGGCCACTCGATTTCCACAGTGCACAAGAAGAAATTGAACGAATTCAGTTTTCCACACTGCCCCGCGAGTTGAATGCCTCCTGATTAATGGCAGACACCATATGAATAGACTGTCAATTGGCCTGAGTTATAGACTGCACATCGGTTGTCTATGTAGAGAAAAGATCAGCCAATGGATTTACTGGGAACCACTGGGATTTCATTTGAATTTACTGCATAGGCATGTTAATTAAACAGTATGAGTAATTATAAATTAACGATCTAGCAGACATATAATAAATTATGGCATTGTTAAACAAGAAAGTATGAGCTTATTTGTTCAAAGTTTTTGTAGTATTATCAGTAAAAAAAATTCTGAATAACTTTTTTTTGCATTTCTGTAAGAACATATAATTTGAATTTTAGACCGATTTGGGTGTCAATAGATCGATAATCAGCGCTCTTATTAATCTATGCAGATTAAAAATCAATTCCAATGTTTTAGTGGCTTTTCTGGCCTAGTGAGAATATAAAAGATATGAATACATATGTGGCAAACACACCTCTTTGGCCGACAAACTAATAGATACACGCATACCATCTGCAGGCCAAACCTGTTGACGCTAAAAGTATAGAATTGAATAAAAAACCCGCCGTATCGGCCGGTTGGGAAGATAAACGGTATTTCGCACAATGAAATATTTTGCATATCTCCCGCTCACAGCGCCAAGGCGATAAAATTGTCAACGAGATCATAGAGACGCGACTGGCGGCGATGAAAGTAAATACGAGCATGACGCCATTATGGCAGCCAAGTGCGCGACACGTCGACGCAGTCCCCCCTTCAGCCCCTCGTTTATCCTCCGCTCCTTAAATGCACACACTATACATAAAGTTGTTCGAATACATATAGGTATATGTACATATATATCCCATAGTTGCATGTGAATCGCACAAGAATCGCCTCTCCTCCTTGGGAAAAGTCTGTGTTCGTTTTGGCTTTCACTTTGCCAAGCCTGCGAACCCACCCAAAAAACTCAGAGACGAAGACCAAGACCCAGACCCGGACGCACCAGCAACATGAACAACTGCAACAGCAACAGCAACAGCAACTGCAGCAACAACCATTGCTGCTGCAACAACGGCAACGTTTTACAGCTGAATGCTTGCCAAATGCAATTTAACTAATGAATTTTAATATTTTACGCCAAAGCGTCTGAATGAATTTTCATTTTCACATCGTTGCACCGACTCCGGCAGCAACATCAACAATGTTGCCAAAGGGGCACGATGGGGGAGTAGAGGGAAATGCTGGAAAATGGTTGGAGCGGCGCGCCTGCACCTGATTATGCTGATAAGAAAGCAAAGAGGTTAACTTTTCTTAATTATCTGGAAAAGCGCAGCCCGACAAAGCATGAAAATGGCAAAAGCTTTTCCCATCGTCTACCACTCTGCGAATTCGCAAACTCAGCACGTGCTGGGAGAGAAGTACACTGGCGGATACGAAGACATAGTTTTAGGCTCTATAATACATAATACAAATATTTAAAAATATTTTTTTAGAACAAAGTTTTTTTCTGTTGAAGAAATATGATCTTGAAAGATGGCATTTTATTATGAGGCTTAAATATAAAATTAGATACTTTTGATGCCAAAGAAATAACATTAAAATATTTGATTTTTTTTTGTCATGTTTCAAAATAAAAACAGAGTTGTAATTTTAAGATTTTCCGAGTTGTAGATTTTATTTCTCATTTATTAATGAAAAGTATCCTAATGTTTCATTTGGTATCTCTATGTGTAGACAGAATACTGCCTTCCCAAGATAAGAAACGTCTGGACCATAAATTGTGCAATCATCGGCCTGCAGAATCTTTTACATATTAGAGATTGTCTGTCGGTCCGTCTGTGTGTCAAATAAAGTGGCAACAACGACAGGCGAATGCACAGAAATTTGTGTATTTTAATTAAAAATGCGCCAACGATGTCGAGAGCAGCTTCATCTGCTTATTAATTAGGAGGAGTCGGTCTGGTCGTTGGCTCGCAGTCATCTTCTTTCCCCGCCACCCTTTCCCGTATCTTGTCCAGTATTTTCTCCATATCTCCGCCATCTCCTCCTCTGTATCGATACAGATACAGATACATCGTGGTCTACTTAAAAGCGGAGCCGGTTCAACTGGCCGGAGGTTCACTTGGCCGGTGGTCCACTGACTGCCGACTGCAGCGGCTAATTCTGCTTTTTGTGGCCGGCGCTGACAACTAAATTGAAAACGGCCCGATTGAGTGGTTTATGAAAGCTGAGGCTGCCATGTGGCATGTGGCATAAACGACCAAGGGGGCAGTGGACACATATGATTTGAGGGATCGTCGCTCCATTACTCAGCGGGATGTGCTCAAGGCTGTTGGCGCGGAATTTCGCATTAGCAAAACACATATGGGGGGCACAACTCCTTAGCAACTAAGAAAAAACTGCTAGAAAAACCAAAAATTAATTATTTTCCTCTTTTTCTCTGCCTTTTCAGACTGGATGGGAAGCCCCTTCGAGCGTGTCGTTTGCGGCGATTTCAACGGTAAGTACCGCAATTAAACGGAAACCCTTGAAGTTAATATCCCGACTGGCATTGAAATGGCAATGGGTTATAGCTCTAACCAGCCGTGGAATATGACGGGGAAGGCAGTTTTTTAAGGCCTGCCGGGATGGCCTTGAAAAATATGATTTACCTGCTACTTTCACCCGCCGAACGAAAGAACAAACCCTTCTCTGTAAAATGCAGCCTGCAATCTTCCAAACTCATTCGTCACATGACTCCCGCTGTCCTGTCATAAATCCCTCATCCTTTGTTTCTTATTTCTTCCTATTCATTGTGCAATTTCATTGTTTATCGGAGTCATTTTCTGGCAAATATCCGAGGCCGGACAATGGTCAGCGAAAGGTTTAGACATCCGGCAACTGTTCGCTCTCTATGTTAATTTGGCCAACTCCGTGAAAGTTGCATCGATAACTCAACCATGCCGGTCAAGTACCCGTTCAAGATCGTAAATCACCAGTCCGTAGTGCTGAGGCCCCCCAAAATTCATGCTGCTGCTTTCCATAACAATTGGCCGAATACCTCAAGACTCTACCAGAAAAACTCACTCAAACCTGCTCTCGATTGATCGATTTGTACGATCGTTGATCTGCGATGGGTCCCCTGTTCTGGGCCTCGTTAAATGTCTTTTTATGGGCGTTTTATGATCTATTTACGATTTTACGCATGGTCTTGTGCCGTGCATAACGATCGTAATGTTGTGGCCACTACTACCGAACGATCCGATCCCCGTTTTATGGGCCCGATAATGGCGTTGATTGTTTGGCGAATCACCACCGCGTTTAATTAGTGCGACAAACGACAAGGGCAGCCGCAAACACGAGTAGCCACTGTCAATTGCCGGTTACAATGGCCGGTCATTAATCGGCATTCACATTCCCGATCCCATCTATATGCCCATTCACATTTCACTTGACTTAATGGCGCCTCCCATTAGTTGGGGTTTGAATAGAGCATGTAGTCGAATAACAATAGGGAACCAATGTGTGTTTATTAATTCACCGCCTAGTTTATTTCCGTGATTAAGCGGGTCCCATTTCCAATTTACAATTAGTTTTTGACTGTAATGCCTAATTGAACAAAACGTTATTTGAGTAAGATAAATAAATTAAGTGGGTATGGATATAGAAACACTTTTCCAATTTTATAAAGTTGTAAAATTACACACTTGCTATAACTTGTTACTTGAATTTATTCATATTTCATTCAATACATTTTTAAATATAATTTTGAAGCTAGTAAAGCGACACTAAAAAATCACAGTGATTTTTTATCGATTAGGAAATGAATTCAGCCATTTAAGTGCGGACATTGCGCATACGCAGAGTGGTCCCCCGGCGACATTAACAATCTACCCCTTGTTTTTGGTGTGGCATGTAATTGCGAGCCGTTTAATTGCCATCGACCACTGGGCAAACATTGCGGCCAATGTCCCAATAATCTGGTTTGCTGGTTTTTCGGTCTGTAGCTCTGAATGCCTGCTGGTCCTCTGGTCTTTAGTATTTGGTCTTCAGTCTTTGGGCCCTTGGAATGAAATCGGAGCGTTCGTGCCGGAGTTCGGTGCCGCAGAAGTACGTGCCACGGCTCAGCTTTTGGCGTCACAGATCGTTTGATATTCGAGTGGGTTAAAGGCCCCCGGGTTCCCCCTTAGCCATTGGCGATCCTCTGGTGTTTGTTTTGTAAATAAATCACTGGCGTTGGCGTTGAGCGGAGTCATTCGGGCAATTTACAGCACTAACGGCCGCTGTTTGACAAGTAATTAACTCACCGAGTTTCAGTTGCCATTCTGCATAGATTGCGGTGGTGGTTTTTTGTCAGGGCTTTGGTTTACAATCTAGAGATCAGCAGAGAATAGCGTTTTTAGGTCGTCTTACTAGTTTTTAATAGATTTTTTTTGGCTAAAAAATTCAAAAACTAAACATATCCATAATAAAGATGCTCAAGTTGCGTAAATAACAAATCACTTTAAAAGATTTACCCACACACGTAATAACAAATAATAATTATTTACAGGCCATATATGTTTGGTTTTTATTGCCTTCAAGTCATCATATTTTATTCAAAGAATTCAAGAATCGCTAAAAAGATTTATAATATAAACAGAAATATTTCTACAAGTCTTCTTTAGTATGACATCTTACTTTCAGCAATTAAATAATTTAGTTCTCTGTAGTTATTATTACAATATGTAAATTGTCTGCTCAAGCCTTACAATTAATTGCCTAGCTATTTTCTAAAAACAAATCACTTAATTCTTTGCAAAGTCGACAAAGTGACTATCTATCTCCGTGGCATGATTTATTCGCATTCCCCGCACAGCGATAACGGCGCGAATGGAATAATAAAATATATTATTTTTATTAATTTTACAAGCCATAATTGCGGCTCGCGATAAGCACGCCCGCCGGGGAATTGAGTGATTGCCACAAAGACCTTTCTATCTATGTGTGAGACCCTCTCTTTCTTCTTGTCTCTGGCCGTCTCTTTCTGAATCCAAAGTACTGTCTGGATTTGAACTCATGTCGCTTTGGAATCAATGCAATATCAATGTTTAAATTCAATTGTGGCGACGATCAATGTCATTGGCAGGGGTTTTCTGGGGGCACGAAGATCCGCCATCTCGCAGATAAACGTTGATCCCGCAGTGGGGTTAAGATCCCTCAGCACCCGCACCCCCACCCCCATCCACTTAGCATCCCTCTCTCTCTCTGTCTGCATCTGTGGTGCTATCTCGCTCGAAACATGGACGACGGCTGGCAAGGGTTAATTTATGAGGCGCGATAAGCGAATTCCATTTCGTTTCGGTTTTGTTTAATTTCCGATTCCCTGTGTTTTCTGTTTTCCTCTTTTTTATTTGGTCTTGTTGTATTTACATTTGCTCTCTCTCTATCTCTATCTCTATCTCTTTCTATGGGGGGAGGGGGGGAGTGTGCGACACCGTGTTATCGGCACGTTTTCTGTCGTTGTTTTAATTTTTTCGGTTTTTTTTTCATTTTGCCCTGCGGCTGCGGAAAATTCAAAATGACACGTTTCTCTGGGTATTGTTGCTGCTCTTTTTTTAACTACCCCGTGCGGCTGTTAATCTGCGGTTTTAATGCCCAAGTGCCGCAAATTGGCAAAAAGGGGTTTGGATTTCAAGGATCCGGCGCGGGGGACCACGATGGGCGACAGGCCGACAGACAAGGACAAAATGGCAGCCAGACTGGCGCGGATTTTCGGCACTCGGAACGGGCCGGCAGACATGTAAATTTGGCCCAGACAAAATCAAATTAAAAGCGCACACGTTCCACAGACAATTGCCGACTCCATCCCCGCCCATCTACGGCGCTTAATCAAAGTTTATTCCCCTCTAACACGACACACGGCTAGAAAAATACTATCAAAACTCCTATTTTAAAGTGCAATCTATAATATAATACTTAATTATCAAGAAATTTGTAAGAAACTCGGCTTTTTGGTCAAGAAAAAGTACAAATATAATATACATTTTGGTACATCTTTATAATTTTGATACATATTTTCTTACCGTGCACACATATGAGAGCAAACAAAACCATCAGTAGGCAAACTTCACCCATTTCCATTAGCGTATGTATATATTTAATTTACACAAAAGTTTTATTTAGAACTTGGCTCTGGCGTGCGACATTTTCGCAGTTTTCCATTTTCCGCCTCGCGTGCAATGCGTGACTGCGACCATTTCCACCCGACTTTCCTGTTGCGATAAATTTGAAGACAGAGAGTAGTTAATATTAATTTAATCGCAGAATTAAACAAGTCGCCGGCGGTGTCGGTTAATGCACTCTTTTGTGCCATTCTTGCGGCTAAATTTATTATTTCTTCTGATTAATCGCTGAGATTAGAGTGTTTACGATGCACTCAGTTCTCTTTGATGCGCCATAGTCATTGGGTAATGTGAGTGGTAACGCGGTAATTGCATTTAAAAATACATATTACTTTAGATTAGGCATTTACTTTAGCTAATTAATTAAATAATTATATTAGGACCTTATCGTTATTGAAACTCGAACTAAACATTTTGAAAATTTTTTTTAATTTATGAGTATATTTTTGACACTATTCAACGCTACAATTCCGAAGAATTTTTCCTCGATTACACCTAGGGAATAAAGAAAATTCAGGGCCTATTGTGTTTTTTGGAAACCTCCCCTCAAGGAACTCGTTATTCCAGTTGCTGGCTTTTGTGGGAATCCTTCCGTTCCCTCGGTTCTCTCTCCTAATGAAGCAATTCAGGTAATTGGAGTTACTCCGCCAGAGCTTCGTATGCACTAGTTGTGAATGGAAGAAACTTGAAAGGGCACAGCCCAACAATGGGGGAAATAAAAACCTGTCGGTGACAAAAGACTTTTCATCTGGGATCATGGCAGCAGCAGCAGCAGAAACAGCATCAGCCACCATTTTCTCAAATTACTCTCGTGCAGCCATTAACAAAAGGCCAACTGTGCGAGTGTGTGTGAGCCATTAATCAAGTTTGTCAGCCAAGAAGAATTCCAAGGGAAGTTCAAGATGGGAAAGACTAATAAGTGAGGTTCATTCTCTGCGGTCTGCGGTGCATCCACGACTCGCGGAGAAGACTCAGTAAAAACAACAATCAATTTCTCAGGAGCCCAAAGGACCACACCTTGGCATTTCAAGGGGGGAAAACTAAACAGGGGGGTTTTCTGTGGGTATTATAATGAAATTCCCAACCGAGGGGGATAAGCATGAGTTATGCACACGCCTAGGTAAATATAGAACCCGCATCGATCGATCGATGCTTTTTATACGAATTTAAGTGTCACGTTCTCGTTTGCGGGGAAATTGGTGTGGGGATTAGAGAGGGGATAAAAGTTATGGGGGCGGGGGTGCTTCCCCGAATGGCGTTTTAATACGTCATCGTTTCAAGTCGGCCCACGCAATCTAAGTTATGGCCGACATCTGCCCCCGAGTTCTGCATTCGAATGGAAATAGGAATGCGGAGT